TTTAACACGTTCCGTGCCAAGCCATTTTTGCCTAACTTGTCGTTCAGGCCATTTGATGTTTTGACTAAAGATTGATACATTATCACATAATATTTCATTATATCATCAGTAGATAAGTAGTGATTGCCCGAATCAACCGTTTTTATGCAGCTCTTGCTTTAAAAAAGTCAAACATTGTAATTAATAGTTATTGTGTATATAACGATTAAACAAATTTATGTGCTTTGTTCTATACAGCATTTTTTACAACGCCTCTCATCCTTTTGGTGGAAATATATTTTATACAATCAAATTTGTCACAAAATGTATGTCTTCAGCGCTTTAAATAAATATGTCCGCGTGTACCATTTATGGTACACGTGGCCTGATGGTCAAGTTTAACGTGTACCATTTATGGTACACGTGGCACGGAACGTGTTAATAGTCGCCAATTGTCAACAACTACAAAAACGAGCCGCGTGGCTCGAATGATCTTATCCTCTCTTTCCAAATTATCCAGTCTTGTTTACAAGTTGAGGTACCATCGGACAGAATTTACTGTATTATTTTCGAATTAGAATTAGATAGATCGTTCAGCTTCTTTCGTCATCTTGTACTGAATAAAAGTGTCCCGTTCATGGCAGTGTTCCCCTACTTTTTTACGCAATTTCACACAGGAAAGCGTGAAATTGAGACAGTTCGTTCGCTCAACCCCTTGCCGTACATCTTCTTCACAGTTACACAGTTACAACGATTCGAATTTTTACGATAAATAATAACTTCTTTGAAAGAAAAAGAAAATTTGTATACAGGGTGTCCCAGGTTTTAATGTTCAAACTTTGTTAGTGTATTCTATGGCACAAAGTAAGAAAAAAATGTTATGTAAATATAGGTCATATAGAGCTTTATTAAGAAGTTATAACAAAAATTCAGAATATAGAAATAGTAATCAACTTGTTGTTACTGCGAGCATTGGCTTGAATAGATCAGAACATGCCGTGTGTTTATGTAAGCTGTGTTTGTTAATACATTTCGAAATGTATTAATAACCGTTGTTGACAATACATGATTGACATCGATCGAAGATTTCTTTTTATTTTTTATTCTTTTTTTTAGTTGATCACTATTCCTATTCTGAATTTTTGTTATAACTTCTTAATAAAGCTCTATATGACCTATATTTGATATATGTTTTATTATTTTTTTCTTACTTTGTGCCATAGTTTGCCATAGTTTTGGACAAAGTTTGAACATTAAAACCTGGGACACCCTGTATATCGTGTGCCTTCGCTATCTAGAATGATCAAACATCGATCAGAAAAGAAGACAGTATCACGTTCGCACTGAACAGGTTACTATTAAAAAGTCTTCACAATGTACAGCGAAACACAGCGTACGGCGAACTGTCGAAGCGAATCGAGCTTACGTTCCAACGTATGATAAATTCGGTAGCTTCGGATCGCCGAAGCGATCCCACTTTGTGTCAAAGCACAGGCGACCAGTTGTTGGTTCTTAGCAAACCTGAGCGAAAAGTCCGGGAATCCGTTATTTTGGCGCAGCTTGCGAGCAAGAGCGGTAAAACGTCGATCGAAGGATTAACGAAGCTCCGTGTGTATCCTAATTCCGCTTCGGTACCAAAGTGACCGCGGGAATTCTCGTAGCTGCGAGTGCGGCGTGGCCAAAGAGCAGCAGGCTAAAGACTATAAACTAACCGACGAGCCAGTGATACGCGCGCGGAGGATTAAGTCTCGTACCTAGAGTGCCAGGTAGATACGGGCAGCTGGTCACGTGATTGAAGTTGTGCGACTGCATCTCTTCCTGGTCGGTCTCACGGTGATAGAAGTAATTGAAGTTGGAGACGATGACGGGAACAGGCAGGGCGATCGTGAGCACGCCGGCAATCGCGCACAAAGACCCGACGATCTTCCCCCAGACTCCCACGGGCCTGTACACAGAACGGAAAACGGTCGCTTTGATTCGCGGCCAGCCGAACGGAACCTGAAGAGCGGTCGTAAAATAGCGTTCGTTCCTCGTTGAGAAACTCGGTGCTAGGTGTGGTGTTTCTATCTTGTGTGAGTTTGCCGTGTCGAGTCGAGTGTGGCGCTACTTATGCGGTACTGGAGGCTCTCCTACAGATACACACAGAGACCGGCGTGCTCTCTCGCTCACCGACAGAGACCGGTGCGGCCACGATCGGTTGCCTTATCGAGCAACGATCACACGTTGTTTCTCCTCTGGATCCCTGGATCCAGCGGTTCTCAGGGCTGCTACACAACAACGCATCTCTACAATCGATCACGCGCGCACAATAATCGGACAATGAAATGAGAAGCGTAATCACACAACTAGAAAACAGAAATGGCCCTCGGCTTTCCGACCGTGCTCTTTCGATTATGTACACCGGGTCTGTAATGGAAGCATTAATTTCACCAGGAACCACTACTACTGATCGGCGGCGATAAACAGGTTCACGCTAGACTGCGGAACTTGGGGCCCCACACGACGTGATTCGCGGAGTTTCAACCTTGACAATAACCACCCTGTTTCCCGGCCGCCGAAAAACTGTCCGCGCGAGTGTTCGGTGGCCATCGTCCCGTCTCTGAAATTGTCTACGGGTTGGTTCTTTCACGAGAGAAATCTGGGTTAAAGAGGACGGTGAAAGCTAGTTTGTAGTTCTTGCACTCGGTGTTGCTCACACAAGGGTAAACAGTGTTGAAAATTTCTACGAAACCTTTTTTGTTCACCAATTCGCCGGATCCGGGCCCTGGAAAATGTTTCAATTCTCTACAGCTGTGCATTCGTGATGCAATCCGTTCACCGATATTATACGACTGCGCCGCAGTTCCGCAGTCTAGCTCCGACTTGTCCAGAGCAGTCGGCTGCGACCGGACCGGTGGTGTAATATATTAAAAATGAAGTTTCTTGGTTTACCTCCGACCATTCTCTGTCTCCCGAAGATCACGTGTTGCCAGGACCGTGTGTACCTGTAGCGATTCGCGTGTCTAATAAGAAGCGGGCTCTCTAGGCTAGACTAGGGGACTAAAGTGACTCTCTAAAGAAGGCTCCTTCTGTTCGTGTGCCGATGCACCGTTCCAAACAAGCGCGTGCCATTCCGTTGCTGAGTTCCGAGATCGAACCTTCTAACGGTACGACATGCAGCTCTCTCTCCGATTCTTTTTGGGAAAAAGGGGAAACCAAAATACAAGACGGAGACTACTGTTTCTCCGATCGGATCGGATCGGATCGGATCGGGTCGGGCCTGATTCGCCGTTCGTCCTCTCTGTCTCGGTGCTAAGTCAAATTTCATTCTTCCTCGACGGCGAGAGCAGGTTCACACCCTGTCAAACGCGATTCGACCGGTAGCCAAGTGCGGTCGAATTTGATCTAGAACGCAATCGAACGCGGCGAAGTACGTTCTCGACGCGATCAAACGCCGTTTAACCGTGACCGAAGTCGGTCAAACTCGGGCTAATGCAATTAAACGAGCTCGAATTCGGCGCGATGCGATAAAACGCGGTTCGACGCTGTCTAAACGCGGTCCCGGATACAACTAAGCGCGGTAAAACGCGATCTAAATGCGATCAAACACGGTTCGGACCGCGGTTAAACTCGGCATAACGCGATTAAACGACGTCAAACTCGATCCGACGTAATCGAACATCGCCTAGATTTTATAACTGAACTCGGCCAAGTACGATCAAACGCGATCGAACTCGTTTAGTTTCTATTTTCATGGAACAGCGATCTCGATCTTCGTCGCGCGATGCAAATTTCGGCGATCTTCTCTGCTCTCCGAAAATATAGTTTCCGGTTCGCTGTATCTGCAGCTCGCGATCGTTCGAACGACGGTAAAAACGACACCACGCGAGATCAAAAGACGCGAACGAGGAATCGGCCCGACATCGTATCGCGTTCGTTCGATTTTTCGGCTCTCTGTCTTCCGTTTCTGTTTCAGAGACGTGAGGCTGCGAGCGCGAATATCTTGGTGAATCGTGATCCGGTTGCAACAGTGTGTTGTATCGGATACAGTGCTCCACGCATTAGTGTGTCTTTCGTTCGAATCGACAGAGACAGAGGTATTTCTTTTTTTACACGGTTTTCGTGACACCTGAAACGAGACTTCGATTAAAAGTATTACTTGGACTGGTCTGGAATATAGATATCTGTTCGTTTTCTATGGTCGGCAGAGGGATAATCGAATGGTACAAGATACTCGCAGGCATCATGCATCGGTGGCTCTGCTAGCGCTAATCCGGGGGCGAGAAGCGTTTCGCTAATCCGTGGAGCAGTGCAACGCCATGTCGCAGATACATCGTGAGCCTCGATCTGCGAGTCGAGTGTCAGCGGTTCGGTGAGTCTATGTAATTAAGAATATAATTGCAAAAAAGAGATATCATTCCTGCAGGTGTCACTGTACTATGGGCCTTCGTGATCCATGACTGATGGTGGTAGCAGTGATGACGACAGCGTGGTGGAGTAAAATAGTCGGTGGACGTTCAAGGGGGGACGAGTAGTTTTTTTTTTTAGTTAGCTAGTCTTCTTGTGGAGGTACGGTGTTTGGTGGGGTGGGGGAAAAGAAATGTTCGATACCGAGGAGGAATGCATGCAAGTAGAAGTAGCTGAAGAAAGGGGAACCGGAAGTCAGGAGATCGCAGGAAGTCACGAAATCCGATCGAATTATCCTTCGTCGATGCTTTTGCTCAACTTTCCACCAGAATTATAGAATCGCAAGCGATACTGTTTCTTGCGAGATGATCGGCAAACGAAGCTAACTAACTGTCCACAGGTTGCGATCGGTCAGAATGTTTCACCGTTCGTTGCAGTCGCGCCGGATTCAGCGCGAAGCAATTATTTATGAAAGGAAGCGACGATATGCGCACCCATTGCATACATATTTCACGACAGACGATGAGACGAGCGTTGAAAAGAACGTTCGCGAATGTTCACGTTATTCTGAGACTATCGGGACCTTTTATCAGGAAACAGAAATAGAAATAGGAAATAAGTTTCTATCGCATGTCGAACGGGGAAACAGGTCGGCGGATTTTCTCCCCGTAATTGCCTGCCCTCCGATATTTTTGAAAAGTTCGATTACTATCGCTAGGGACCGCGCACCCTTAGAACTAATCAACCAAGCGAGACGAACTGCGATATTGAATTTCCGAGGGTGTCGCCGACGAAAACTTCCTAATCAAAAAGCGTATACTTTTGCCTACAAATCTACGAATTGTTCGAGAACACACCTTCAACAATGTTCTTTATCTCGAAACAAAACTATAAAGGGACCGCAAAGATTGCGCGTCGAGATCAAACGAGCCTTCAAACTGGAACCTGCTTCTTTTCAATAATGCTTCTCTTGAAGAAAATTGTGAAAGCACACGAAAGATTGCGTCCTAGACCTAAAAACTGTCGGGGAAAGAAAAGATATTATTAATATCTTACTAGCAATGATTTTACGCTTCTCTCAATGCACGTGACCTAAAAGAGCGTGCTTAAACTGCAACGTCAACAGTGCGTCTAGGTTAAAAAGAGTGACCAAAGGACGGCTAAATTGCGTCTCTGCATCGGAAGATCTCCTTTTTCAAAAACTTCTCCTCTCCGTTAAACGTTCCTCCGCAGTGATCTTCCTTTTCTCGAATAAAATGATCAAAGGGCCTCTGAGATTAGAAAATTCCTTGAACTATAACCAGGTCCTCTCCAATATAATCTCTGACAATATTTCTTGTCTTCGAGGGAATTGCGAAAGAATCCCGGAACGCGGAAAATCCTCTTCAACCGAAAGATGTCTCTCTTTAACATTCCACTCAATGGTCTTTTTTTTCTTGAATAAACTGATCACTGAATGCTTCAAGTTAAGAATTTCCCCATAGTAAATTCTTCCCAATTGACGCTCAGAGTGTACGCAAAAATGGACAATTTGCGGCTCGTTTCTATAGTTACCGATAGTCGACAAGCATAAAAGCGAGCCGCGAGGCTCGAACAATCGTATCTCCACTTCCCATTTTTCCCTTTGTATATTTTTGTGCACAATCTGAGCGACAATTAGGGAGAATTTACCGTAATACCTTCCTCGAATAATAAATATCGAAGAGCTTCTATCACTGTGCCCAGAAATCAGAAGCCTTCTCGAAGCAAAACTCGCACGACTCCAACGTTTCCGTGCTGAAGAAAAACTTGCGAAAAAACCACTCATCCAAGAAAACCACTTGCAATGGATTGCTCTCTCTCTCTCTCTCTCTCTCTCGCCGATCGACAGTAATTCGGGAAAGAATCGTCAGAGAGAAAGGGACGAAGCGACCTCGTCGGAAATATCGAAGGCGTGGCGACAGAATCGAGATACAGTAATGTCTCCCTTACTGACGCTCAGATTGTCCACAAAAATGGACAATTTGGAAAGAGGAGCTTTGCGAATTCGAGCCTTGCGACTTGTTTCTATAGTTACCGATTGTCAACGATTATAAAAATATGGTGCAAAGCCGGAATAATCGTATCTCCTGTTCCCATATTGTCCATTTTTCTGCACGATCTGAGCGTCAGTAAGGGAGACATTAGCTGACGCTCAGATTGTCCACTAAAATGGATAATTTGGGAAGAGGAGATACGATTAGCCGAGCCTTGTGGCTCGTTTTTATAATTGTGGAAAATTTATAACTATAAAAATAAACCGCGAGGCTCGAATAATCGTATCTCATCTTCCCAAATTGTCCATTTTTGTGGTCAATCTGGGCGTCGATCAGAGAGACATTACTGTAACAAGCCGCGGAGCAACTGGCGGCTGTGGCACCCAAATAGATCGCGATCTCGTCGAAGATCTGTGGGTCCGCTTTCGTTGCATCGCGAAGACGTCGAACCGCGTCGCGACGCGCCGCGACGTCAGGCTCACGAAATTGCGAGCAATCGCGGCAATGGGCACCGAGAATCGACGTAACGAGACGCGATGCGACG